GAACCACAGGGGTCTCAGTCCAGGACGATAGAACAGCTGTTATGTATATAGCCAACAGGACATGGCTATCCCTCAGTCCTTCAGACTCACGGTGTTTGAGCTCGGTGCTGATGCTGGTGGGCTCGTCCCCCCCCAGGACCAGGACCGGGCCGGCATGTAGCTCGAGTCCTCGCTCGCAACGTGGACCGCCAGTTGTCTGAACAAAAACAGTGAGTCAGGATTCTGAATTTAAACTGTAGTATAATATTCAGAATCAGCTGAGTCATGCTTTGAGGCGTCCAGGTGGTCCTGGTTACCCCTCAGAACCTGATCAGAACCCTTCAGAACCTGATCAGAACCCCTCAGTACCTGATCAGAACCCCTCAGAACCTGATCAGATCCCCTCAGAACCTGATCAGAACCCCTCAGAACCTGATCAGAACCCCTCAGTACCTGATCAGAACTCAGAACCTGATCAGACCCCTCAGAACCATGAAAAAACCTCAGAACCTGATCAGAACCCCTCAGTACCTGATATCAGAACCCTCAGAACCTGATCAGAACCCCTCAGTACCGGATCAGAACCCCTCAGTACCCCTCAGTACTGATCAGAACCCCTCAGTACCGGATCAGAACCCCTCAGTACCCCTCAGTACCTGATCAGTACCCCTCAGTAACCTGATCAGAACCCCTTTGTGCATGTAGATGTTGATGAAGTGCGACCCGGTGCAAGCCGTTGGACTCCCAGTAGGTTTGGGGTTCTTGTCGGTGAGCTTGTTAGCTCGATGGTGATTGGACGAGACCTCCACCTTCTCCCAGCACTTATCCTCCTTCAGCTCCACGCTGGAGCCTGGACACATTCATCGCCATGGAAACATAGAGTTAATATATAATAACTAACAGTGGTTAAATATGATAACAGCATGTATGTATGTAATAACAGCATGTATGTATATAATAACAGCATGTATGTATGTAATAACAGCATGTATGTATATAATAAACAGCATGTATGTATATAATAACCGCATGTATGTATATAATAACAGCATGTATGTAATGTAATAACAGCCATGTATGTATATATAACAGCATGTATGTATGTTAATAACAGCATGTATGTATGTAATAACAGCATGTATGTATATAATAACAGCATGTAGTATGTAATAACAGCTGTGTTTAATATATAATAACAGCATGTAGGTATGTAATAACAGTGTGTTAATATATAATAACAGCATGTATGTATATAATAACAGCATTGTATGTATGTAATAACAGTGTGTTAATATATAATAACAGCATGTATGTATGTAATACAGTGTGTTAATATATAATAACAGCATGTATGTATGTAATAACGAATGTATGTATATAATAACAGCATGTATGTATGTAATAACAGTGTGTTAATATATAATAACAGCATGTATGTATATAATAACAGCATGTATGTATATAATAACAGCATGTATGTATGTAATAACAGTGTGTTATTATATATTAACAGCATGTATGTATGTAAAACAGTGTGTTAATATATAATAACAGCATGTATGTATGTAATAACAGCATGTATGTATGTAATAACAGTGTGTTAATATATAATAACAGCATGTATGTATATAAAACAGCATGTATGTATGTAATAACAGGTTGTGTTAAATATAATAACAGCATGTATGTATATAATAACAGCATGTATGTATGTAATAACAGTGTGTTAATATATAATAACAGCATGTATGTATATAATAACAGCATGTATGTATAATAACAGCATGTATGTATGTAATAAAGTGATGATGAGACAGACCTTGGCAGAGGTTCCTGAGGAACACGTCAAAGAAGGGGATGTTGATTGGCTGATGGCTGCGGCGGTGCTCCTCTATCTGACCCCAGCACCATCTGACAGGGGACAGGAAGTGAACCAGGTGAGACATGTCCTGACAGGAAGTGAACCAGGTGAGACATGTCCTGACAGGAAGTGAACCAGGTGAGACATGTCCTGACAGGAAGTGAACCAGGGTGAGACATTCCTGACAGGAAGTGAACCAGGTGAAACATGTCCTGACAGGAAGTGAACCAGGTGAGACATGTCCTGACAGGAAGTTGAACCAGGTGAGACATGTCCTGACAGGAAGTGAACCAGGTGAAACATGTCCTGACAGGAAGTGAACCAGGTGAGACATGTCCTGACAGGAAGTGAACCAGGTGAGACATTTCTGACAATATTTATTGGTACTTTGAAGTAAAGCCTCTCTCTTCCTCCCCATTGGTTGGCAGTATTTGTATCTCTGAGTACCTGGATGCAGCCCTGCCTGCATGCTGGTGGTCAGTATCTCTGTGAGGGGGGGTACTGGTCTAGAGGTCTGTGAGGGGGGGGTACTGGTCTAGAGGTCTGTGAGGGGGGGTACTGGTCTAGAGGTCTGTGAGGGGGGGTACTGGTCTAGAGGTCTGTGAGGACTGGTACGGTATAGAGGTCTGTGAGGGGGGGTACTGGTCTAGAGGTCTGTGAGGACTGGTACTGGTCTAGAGGTCTGTGAGGACTGGTACTGGTCTAGAGGTCTTTGAGGACTGGTACTGGTCTAGAGGTCTTGAGGGTACCTGGGATGCAGCCTGCCAGCACGCTGGTGGTCATCTTCTTGTACAGGCAGGCGTACTTCTCACAGTCGGTGAGGAGCTCCCTCAGCTCGGACACCAGCAGCAGGTTGGAGCTGTGCTTCTCCAGAGCTTTGAGCAGAGCCTCCTTGGTGCCCAGACGACACATCACCACGGCGTAGTCCTTGTTCAGGGAGGCCAGCCGGAACAGGAAGCGGATGAACTGCTGCACCACCTGACAGCCAATCACAGCAGGGTACAGTCAGAGGATAAACAGCTGCACCACCTGACAGCCAATCACAGCAAGGGTACAGTCAGAGGATAAACAGCTGCACCACCTGACAAGCCAATCACAGCAGGGTACAGTCAGAGGATAACTGCTGCACACCACCTGACAGCCAATCACAGCAGGGTACAGTCAGAGGATAAACTGCTGCACCACCTGACAGCCAATCACAGCAGGGTACAGTCAGCGGATAAACTGCTGCACCACCTGACAGCCAATCACAGCAGGGTACAGTCAGAGGATAAACAGCTGCACCACCTGACAGCCAATCACAGCAGGGTACAGTCAGCGGATAAACTGCTGTCACCACCTGACAGCCAATCACAGCAGGGTACAGTCAGCGGGGCATAATGGTATTTTCTCCGATTTTCTACTTTTCTCAGAATTTTGTATTGATATACTTTTATTTCTCAGCATTCTGTTTAGGGACTCTGTGAATTGCTGTGATGTGACTGATGGAACACAGAGCTCTTGAACGTGTCCTCCTCCTCTCTCCTCTCCTCCTCCTCTACTCCTCCTCCCCTCCTCTCCTCCTCCCTCTCACCTCCCTGTCGCGATGAAGCAGCTGATGGAGGAGAGGCAGGGCTCGATGCTCTCGTGCCACGGCAGCTCGTCCTCCTGGTAGCTGTCCAGGAACTTATTGAGGATCCTGCAGGAAACACACTTACTCAGAGAGAATATCACACACACACACACACTTTACTCAGAGAGAATATCACACACACACAACTTTACTCAGAAGAGAATATCACACACACACACACTTTACTCAGAAAGAATATCACACACACACACACTTTACTCAGAGAGAATATCACACACACACACTTTACTCAGAGAGAATATCACACACACACACACACTTTACTCAGAGAGAATATCACACACACACACTTTACTCAGAGAGAATATCACACACACACACACTTTGCTCAGAGAGAATATCACACACACACACACACTTTACTCAGAGAGAATATCACACACACACACACACACACACTTTACTCAGAGAGAATATCTCACACACACACACTTTACTCAGAGAGAATATCACACACACACACACACACTTTACTCAGAGAGAATATCACACACACACACACACTTTACTCAGAGAGAATATCACACACACACACACACTTTACTCAGAGAGAATATCACACACACACACTTTACTCAGAGAGAATATCACACACACACACTTTACTCAGAGAGAATATCACACACACACACTTTACTCAGAGAATATCACACACACACACACTTTACTCAGAGAGAATATCACACACACACACACTTTACTCAGAGAGAATATCACACACACACACTTTACTCAGAGAGAATATCACACACACACACACTTTACTCAGAGAGAATATCACAACACACACACACTTTACTCAGAGAGAATATCACACACACACACTTTACTCAGAGAGAATATCACACACAACTTTACTCAGAGAGAATATCTCACACACACACACACTTTACTCAGAGAGAATTATCACACACACAACACTTTACTCAGAGAGAATATCACACACACACACACTTTACTCAGAGAGAATATCACACACACACACTTTACTCAGAGAGAATATCACACACACTTTACTCAGAGAGAATATCACACACACACACACACACACACTTTACTCAGAGAGAATATCACACACACACACACACACTTTACTCAGAGAGAATATCACACACACTTTACTCAGAGAGAATATCACACACACACACACTTTCCTCAGAGGAGAATATCTCACACACACACACTTTACTCAGAGAGCAATATCAACACACACACACACTTTACTCAGAGAGAATATCACACACACACACTTTACTCAGAGAGAATATCACACACACACACTTTACTCAGAAGCGAATATCACACACACACCTTTACTCAGAAGAGAGAATATCACACACACACACACTTTACTCAGAGAGAATATCTCACACACACACTTTACTCAGAGAGAATATCACACACCTTTACTCAGAGAGAATATCACACACACACTTTACTCAGAGAGAATATCTCACACACACACACACTTTACTCAGAGAGAATATCACACACACACACACACTTACTCAGAGAGGAATATCCACACACACTTACTCAGAGAGAATATCACACACACACACTTACTCAGAGAGAATATCACACACACACACTTTACTCAGAGAGAGAATATCACACACACACACTTTACTCGAGAGAATATCACACACACACTTTACTCGGAGAGAGAGAATATCACACACACACTTACTCAGAGAGAATTATCACACACACACTTTACTCAGAGAGAATATCACACACACACACACACTTTACTCAGAGAGAATATCACACACACACACTTTACTCAGAGAGAATATCACACACACACACACTTTACTCAGAGAGAATATCACCACACACACACACTTTACTCAGAGAGAATATCACACACACACACTTTACTCAGAGAGAATATCACACACACTTACTCAGAGAGAATTCTCACACCACACACTTTACTCAGAGAGAATATCACACACACACACTTTACTCAGAGAGAATATCACACACACACACACTTTACTCAGAGAGAATATCACACACACACACTTTACTCAGAGAGAATATCACACACACTTTACTCAGAGAGAATATCACACACACACACACACTTTACTCAGAGAGAATATCACACACACACACACACACTTACTCAGAGAGAATATCACACACACTTTACTCAGGAGAGAATATCACACACACACACACACTTTCCCTCAGAGAGAATATCTCACACACACACACTTTACTCAGAGAGAATATCACACACACACACACACTTTACTCAGAGAGAATATCACACACACACACTTTACTCAGAGAGAATATCACACACACACACTTTACTCAGAGAGAATATCACACACACACTTTACTCAGAGAGAATATCACACACGCACACTTTACTCAGAGAGAATATCACACACACACACACACTTTACTCAGAGAGAATATCTCACACACACACTTTACTCAGAGAGAATATCACACACACTTTACTCAGAGAGAATATCACACACACACTTTACTCAGAGAGAATATCTCACACACACACACACTTTACTCAGAGAGAATATCAACACACACACACACTTTACTCAGAGAGAATATCACACACACACTTTACTCAGAGAGAATATCACACACACACACTTTACTCAGAGAGAATATCACACACACACACTTTACTCAGAGAGAATATCACACACACACACTTTACTCAGAGAGAATATCACACACACACACTTTACTCGGAGAGAATATCACACACACACTTTACTCAGAGAGAATATCACACACACACACTTTACTCAGAGAGAATATCACACACACACACTTTACTCAGAGAGAATATCTACACACACACTTTACTCAGAGAGAATATCACACACACTTTACTCAGAGAGAATATCACACACACACTTTACTCAGAGAGAATATCTCACACACACACACACTTTACTCAGAGAGAATATCACACACACACTTTACTCAGAGAGAATATCACACACACACACTTTACTCAGAGAGAATATCACACACACTTTACTCAGAGAGAATATCACACACACACACTTTACTCAGAGAGAATATCACACACACACACACACACACACACACACACACACACACACACACACACACACACACACACACACACACACACACACACACACACACACACACACACACACACACACACACACACACACACACACACACACACACACACACACACACACCACACACACACACACACACACACACACACACACACACACACACACACACACACACCTGAGTATGGACAGCTGAGCCGCCCGGTCCCGCTCGGTGCTGATCCAGCAGACGAACCAGATCCTGATAGGTGTCCCGACTGTGAGCCACCTGAACAGGAACATGTCTTTATTAGTTCTGATATCTGATATATAGCATACATACTGATATATATTCATACATACTGATATATATTATATTCATAAATACTGATATATATTATATTCATAAATACTGATATATATTATATTCATAAATACATATTCATAAATACAATATACTGATATATATTCATAAATACTGATATATATTAATAATACTGATATATATTAATAATACTGATATATATATAATACTGATATATATATATAATCATACGAGCTCAACTTTATCTGCGTTCGCCATTTCCTCAAATTACTGACTAAATTTGAACGCATCCCTGTGACCAGCTCTCATAGTAAGCCTCTCGTCCAATGAAATGACTTGGTCGCTCTATGACGCGTTGAACCCAATGTGAGCAAATTACTCTGAACGCTGCGACGCAGCACCTGAGATGACTTCCAAAACGTTGTTCACGTTCTCAATTTTTTACGTTTAACGTTATATCGTTCGGTACCGAACCGAAGGGGCCGGTTGTGTTGTGTAATAATGTGTGTGTGTATATGTTGTGTAATAATGTGTGTGTGTGTGTATATGTTGTGTAATAATGTGTGTGTGTATATGTGTGTAATAATGTGTGTGTGTGTATATGTTTGTGTCCTCCTTGTGT